TCAATAATTCATATAAAATGTTGCATGTTTTATATTATAGTATCAAAATTGTTTCAATAATACAATTCATATAAATTCACATCAACATTTATGGTTGAAATACTAAGATGAGGCCAACAGATTAAGTCAATTCTTGCATACACACTCACATGTAAAAATCTGACAAGACTTTATATCATTAGTCATTGTAGGTTAGAACAACCTTGGGTATTTAGGACTTTTTTCATGTAAAGAGGTTTAGATCCACATCTCCCCCTTAAACTTAAAGAAGTTAGGTGGTTCTACTTGGGTGCCTGCTTGTGCCTGAAAAAAATGCATAAAGCATCTCCAGAACGGCAGAAGTAAAGCTGGAAGTTGCCATATGACTTTTACAGCATTGATGTAAATTAATTAATTTATAATACTGTGCAATAACACTGTACTTCATTTGAGTAGCCAAACACCACAGCATCAAGTCTACACCAATTAACTGCTCATCCTGAACCTTTTGCCTAGTATGTGCAAAATTACAATAAGAATGAGTACCTGACCTAAAAATTCCAATTGCTATAACTATATTCCTTACTAGAAATCAATGTTTTTAGCATATTACGATGCATTACTAGATTCCCCTGAGAAAAAAAATTTTGCCTTGATTATGCAAAACTCCATTTTTCGGCATGATTTATGTTTAAACAAATTTACGTATTCATACTGCTGGTAATCAAATTACCATTTATGCAAATTTATACTAATTTTGTTTGTAATCAGCTGTAAACTGAAAATAGAAGATAGATTTATTGACAAATATTTGGAGAGAAAAAAAAACCCAGAACTAAATTCCAATGTGCTTTCAAAAATGGAAGGAAAATGTGTGACTATATACGCTACCAATAGTAACAAGAATATTTTAAATGCTTCCCAAGGAGGTAAGAGTGCAGCTGTGAATCAAAAACAAAATTTAATGCTAGTCTGAACATCGATCAATTTTCCAAATCAATTCTTGTTTCAAGACGTGAAAGAATTCCCCTTCCCTCTGTCTTAACACACCATTTCCTGCTCAATTCCTATCACAGCTTCATTTTTGTCTAAAATAGATCTATGTTAAATTCAATTTATAATAAGATAAAGTGAAAACCAAATATTTGAGTGAAAAATGAAGGAATATTTTATACTTCTTTGATAATTGGTTGAAATGTGACAAAATTGTTTTCAATCAGTTTATAAATCAAAGAATGAATTAAATATTGTACCTGAAGCATGAAAAACATGTAAATACAATAAAGTTATTGTTTTTCCTATGGTAAGGGTTTATTCTGAGAACAAAAAATCATATTGCAACTACTATTAATAAAAGTTGCCACTCAATGCTAAGTATAAATCTCAGATACCCCTCATTTATTTCAGACAGAAACAATCAAGTAAAACAAATTAAAATTATTGTGCAGTTATGATGTTAATTATGATGATATCAAATCTATGACATCACATGAATTACAGTGTTTTGCTATTTGAGATTTGTTTGCTTTAAGAATTTTAAAAGTCTGATTATCAACATCTTTCTTTTATTTGCCATTGTATATTATCACTTTTTGTCATTCATTATTTTGAATAATTTTATACTCACTAGTACTATAATTGTCTTTACATTCCTACACATCTGACTCCATACCATGATATATCCAGATATTGACCAATTATTAAATATACCCATCAAATTATATATGTATATTGACTTACATATCAGGAATACATAATTAATGGTTACATTGATTAACAGGAAGTATTAAATGTTATAGAAATGAATAATTAAACAACATGTTTGCTTCCCTATCTTTGTTGTCTGAGATTTAATTAAAACAAAACAAACAGTTTAAATTTTTGATTCTGTTTGTGAACTTTCTGCTCTGTTGACATGGTAATGGTATTTCCTCTAAAATAACAACAGACAGTAGCAGTCATCACATTCTGTTATATATAGTGCAGTAGATGTTCTGATAAAGTTAGTTTTCATGTTGTATTTTATAGCAGATGGCACAAAAAGAATTTGATCTTCCAAAAAATAATTAATGTTTTCCTCCATTTCAAATATACACAGCTTAACTTAGGGTTTGGGGGTTTGTTTCTTTGATACTGTAAGGGACTGTGAATATTTATCAAATAATTTACTTTCAGGACCTTGTGATGAATATATCAGTTTAAAACAAAATATGTTTTATGACAATTTGAACATCAAACTAGCATACTTTATTGACAAGTGAGGTAATACTGTTCAGTCAATGCTTAAAACTTACCTGCCAGGATTCCTGAACTTTACCTGTTTGCCTCAGCCATTCATATTTGCTGATTTTATTTGTTTAGATAATCTTCTGGTAAATGAAGGAATTAAGACCATGATGTAGGACATTCTGAGGCTCTAGGACTATATAAGGCACTATAAGGAGGTTTATACTTCAAGAAATGATTTATTTACTTACTTTGTTTATCCTGGCATCAAAATGGCCGATAAGAGTTGTCTACCTTGATTCAAAACTTTAAATGCATTTATTTTCATAAACATATACAAATACTTATCATTTTACATGTAAGAACATAGAATGTAATCCTTATTTACCTAAGACCTAAGTTACTTTCCAAATAGTTAGCTGGCATTGCTGTATTTCATAATAATCTTGATGACCGGTATGACCTCTAAGTTTGTCAGGAGGGAAAATTCAAATTCCTGGCACTTGGAATCTTTTTATATCAATAGTTCATTTTTCTAAGCTATAACCATGATTGTTTTTGGTCCAGACATTAAGTGCATCAAGTTAAGCATGTAATTCAAGTGTTTATTGCATATTTTGTTATTAGTTAACTTTGTTAATTTACATTTTTCTAAATTATTCCTGTCAATATGGCTGCCATTTTAAGAAGTTCCTGTCTTTCCTGCCAGACTGCCAGGCCAAATGGAATGTTATGATTGGTCAATTGTGACAGTCCTGGCCATTTCAGAGTCTATATAAGTAGCCATGACAGGCTGTTTTCAGTTTGCGTTTTGGCCTTAAATCCTGACAGTCGTGAAAACTAGTGACAAGAGCATTTTGTAATATTTTCATGGAAACTTCTATTGTTGAATCTAGCAAATTTAGTGCTCTTCAGAGTTGAATAAAGAAATTGTGGAATTATCGCTCTTCAGAGTTGAATAAAGAAATTGTGGAATTATCTTTTTATCAATAAAAGTTGTTATTTGAACAGTTTTTGACTTAGCTCACAATACTTTCCATTAAAAATATTTAGTTGGTTAAATTTTCATATCTATGACATGTGGTAATCAATCTAATCATGTGCTGTGTTGTAAAAGTAAAACAAATCACATAAAATCAGATATATCAATCCAGATAAGAAAATTGCCATTCATTTTATATTGATCTAAATCTGCAGGTTAAAACTTGTAGTTGGACTTTGAGTATTGAAATACTTGCAAATGATTTATGTTTTTATCTAAAAGATAATTATATTTAATCAATAAAAACACAACTTGTGTGGCCATTTATATATATTTGATATATCTGAGGAGGATTAATTCTGTGTAAATATTTGTCTCTGAGAATAAAGTGTTTTGTCCAAACAAATATATAATATATACAAGTACTTTGAACAGCAGACTAAGTCCATGTTTGAAGTGAATACCTTTGATAGTTTATAAGAAATGGACCTTAAACACAAACGTTAACCTTGGCAAAAATTTTAAGTAAAAAAGGGACATAACTCTTCACTAAGATTATCTATCCTTTTGTGATGGCATTACATTATGATAGCAAAACAAGTATAAAAAGTTTGAAGAAGGAATATACCAAGTTTGAAAAGGATAGCTTTGATAGTTTCCGAGAAAATGTACCTTAACAAAAAGTCATTAGTAAATTATCATAGCAACAAGATACACATAATTCTCAAATTTCATAACTTCTTAAAGTATTTACTAATATAAAATGCATTTAAAATGAAAACATAAAAGTCTCCTTTATTGAACAAAATAAAAATGATACAACTTTATGCCTCTTCCTGCAAGGTTTTTTTTTTTTTTTTTTAAATTTACATCATTTTTTTTATTCATATTTGAATATTTGGTTGTGCATACTTGAAACTAGTAGGTTTTATTTGTTCCAATGTTATCATGTGTGCCTCTAATATTAGTTTCTGTAGTTACTTTCTAAATTTTGATCATTCCTTTAAAATGTCAAATAATACAGGGAAAGAGCTACCAGTAAATATCAAACAAGATGTCTTTTATAATTGATTATGACAATTGTTCCAACAAATTTCTCAAAAGCAGACATTATTTCCAAAATGCAAACTCATTATTCACAACATTTTCAATATATCTGCAGAACAAATTCTACAGTTTAAATTTCCAAATAGTGCTATAAACCTTCAAAGCCTTACATCATTCATTAGAATAAATAAGATATTTGTGCACAAAATAAGGCTGTTTTAGTTATAATATATTGTCCTTAGGTATCAGAATAATCAAGTTTGTTGATGGGATTTCTTAAAGTGACATTATGGCCATCCAAGGGTATATAGTGAGTGAATAGGTCAAGGTCAAAATAAAAAAACATATTGCCATTATGCCTTTCAATATTACAATTTACTTTGCATGAATATCAATAAACTCACATGGACCAAGGAAATTTCTGTAAATATCCATTGGAATTTATCTGCAACCGGAGAAGAGCAGTCTTATTAAAGGCAGATTTAAACTTCATACTAAACATTTTCCAATATTAATTGTTGGTTAATCACCATTATAACAGTCAATATTTTGAAATATATAGTCTATTAAGCTCAGCTTCAAAAATGAGTAAAATTTCACTTAAATGTCACTTTAAACAAAAAATCTGGAAAATTGCACTAAGATAAGTCACAAGGACGATAATCAACAAAGTAACTCAGAGGAGGAAACAAGAATTGATTTCTTACGTCAAACACCAGGGAATCTCCCTTAATGATAGCTTATCCTTCACCTTCAGTTCTGGTATGCTAAAATATAGGCATATAAAATTAAACCCGATTTTGCTGCAAAGTACCCATTATACTAACTACATTTATTATTTCACTTACGTCTTTTTGGAGAAGATGCTTGTATTATAGCTGTCACTATGTCACAATTGTTCTGTAGTTTTGACATCCTACGTTCTCGACGTTTCAGCTGACGTACCAGTCTCGCTGACATCTGGCTCACATGACGAGATATATCTGTCAACAAACTCCTCAAATCTTTCAACCCTGAAAATAACATTAATGAGCCGCATCATGACAAAACCAACATAATGCATTTGCGACCAGTTCACTTACAAACCCTATAACAAGTAGAGAAACTGATAGCAAACAGCATGGATCCTGATCAGACTGCACAGATGTGCAGGCTGGTCTGAACCATGCTGGTCACAAACGCATTACGTTGGTTTTGTCATGGCGCGGCTTATTTTAAATTAAAATTTTCCGTGCAACAAAACAAAAACTACAAACACACACAAAGAAAATTAACAAATGCATGTATATAATTTATTTAATAATAATTTTCAAAACACTTCCCTAATCAAAATACCCATGCTTAACTCAGAGACAATACTAGTAAGAATTAAAAGTAGGTGTACTACATAAGTTTATGAGAAAAACAAAAATATTTTTTTATATATAGTGTACAGAGTCATTTCACAATCATTTTTAGGAAAATACCATAATATTATATTCTAATAAAATAAAAATCATCGCCTGTTTTTCAAAATCAATTTTAAAGTACTTGTATCAAACATGTGATGAGAATCAAATTTAAAATACCTTCAACATGTGGGCTCTATTCCGGTTTGTAAGAACTTGGTAATCAGCAAAGAAATAACGTACCTGTACATTTCATTCTTATATAATTTATTGTCAGCAAATTGTCATTTCCATTAATTTTTGTAATGATGCACAGACAGTGTATTCAATGAACAAAAAGCTTCATAAAGCACACAAAATCTAAACATTCAAAATATTCTTAAATATTTACCTAAATTTGACAGTTTTTCCCTTGAAACAGCCATTTTACATGTTTATATTGTTTTATGACGAGTAATGTAAACAATGCTTATATTTGCATATATGTAGATAAATGGCAATAAATTTTACATGCTTAATATATTGTTATAAATTTTATCTTATCTTAAAAAGGGGCACAACTCATTAATGTAAAACAATCAAGATATAACCATAATTACTTCCCTTTGCAAAAAAATGACACAGAAGCAAGGGGTATAAAGTTCAAACCTTATTTAACGAAAGAATTTGTTTCAAATGATGAATACCAAAACAAATTTGGGAGTTACTGGACAAACAGTACGAAAATACATCCTATTAATTTACCAGAACCTTAAAAATACTACTAAAAAGGCTATATTACTAGTATGTATACATGTACATGTATAAATAATAAAGACTATGAAGTTGCAAAAATACAGTACAAATGATGCTCTGATAAAAAATTTAGTTGCACATTTATTCAAACATATCAAAACATCATTTCGAATAGCGAGAAACAAAAATTCATATTACTAATTCAGATGATGAAAAAAATAAACTTTTAATTCAAGCTGAATGCATTATCTTTTTTCACTGAAAACTTTCTCATAATTATTACCATAATCTTGTAGAATACCACGATGGAGATGACCAAGGGACCGACCAGCTATCTTGAGGTGTACTGAATGACGCCTCCAGTGCATAAACTCTGAGGTGCTTGAACACTCGGTGAATGTATCGCTATCGAAGCTGTCATGTCTATGATCATGCCACCGATCATAAATCTCCGATAGAAGACCATCTACTATAGACGACTGACTGTCTAACCTCTGTCTGTAAAGGTAAGAAAATATGAGTAATTTATCAACATTAACTTCAAAATCGAAAAAAAGATTTCTTCTTCTGAACAAAAATAACACAGGGTGGGTAATGTAACATTATGATTTGTTTACGTTAACACTGGGTCGCAGCTATTGGCCATGCCCATAACTTAATAGGCATTTGGTGTTTTTTGTTATATTTTAATACAAATGTATTTGAGTAATAAACATATAACATATTCCAGGCAAATATTTGCTAATTTCAATGGTACATAAAATGATAATCTTTTGATATAGATCTTGTACTTTTCCAAATATGCTTGCGAAAGTTGTGATACAATGTTCACATATATTTTCATCATGCTATTAACAAACTACGTAAAAAAAATTACAAGCTTTTATAACAGGAAAAGTATAAAGTAGCTGCAATGGGGAGCTATGAACCATTGGAATTGGCAAATATTTGCCTGGGACATGGTTATAATAGAATATGGTATGTGCTTATAATTCAAGTACTAAAAGATACAACAGAAACAGTGTATAATTTCTAGGAGGGGGGATGAGGGGATTCACTCATATTTTTGAGAATTCCCCCCTATTTTTTAAGAGGCAGGGCGGAAATTTTACAAAGAGAAAGAAGGAAAACGATCAACAAATGTAATAAATTCTCACTTTTCAAAAAAAAATCCCCCTTGTTTTTGCATCCTAGAGTAGACACTGCAAAACTAGAAAATACCTTTTATGATATGGGCATGACCATTAGCAGTGACCAAATGTTACCAAAAACAAACGCCCCATGATCATGTACCATGTCACAGAAATTAGGATTGAAATTTACGATCAAGTTGGGTTAGAACTAAGCAATTTCACTGGGAAAGTGTTAATTGACCAGATTTAAAGTAAATAGACAAATGCTCCTAAAGGCCAGTAAATGTACTATGACCTTTAACTTAAAAAAAGGGCATGATCACTACAAAGTGTGTAACAAGAATAAAGAAAACAAACACTGTTTTATATCCTCAGTATCTTACTGTATTCCCAATTGTTTTGACAAAGATATGACCAGAGACAACTGTGACATCAATGTACTATTTTGACATCTCAGCTACCTTCAACTTATTAGATGTCAAACTGGCATTTGTGTGTGATAAGTCTTCTTGATGTACCACAAAACTGTGCCTTAAGTTATAACAAATTCCATCCATGAATAAAAGATAACCAAAAACAACCATCAATGTACACAGACAGTATACTGTACTTTTATCATATTTTAGCTTCAAAGTCTAAATGTGACCTTGACTTTTAAGCAACACACTTCACAATCATCATACATTGTTTTTAAGTACTACATATTTAAGAAAATTAATTCAAATGAATGGACTGGGTATAATTATAAATGCACTATTATGTATTTTGTCATTCTTTGACCTTTATTTTTTCTGAACTAGGTTTGGTTATCTTAACAAGCTGCATGTTTATAGACATCATAAATATTTTAAAATCTATCAATGAATAACAATGTCATGCATAGAACACAACCATCTATACATAATCATAACTTTGTATGGACAAGTGGGTACACAATCATAACTTTGTATGGACAAGTGGGACTTTGCCATTTGAGATTGAGACCTAATTTTGGGTATGACATGTCAGCTCAATGTGCAGCACTTTAATGCAAAGTCATCTTAAAGTCTATTGATCAATGAATGACAAGAATGTTGACTAAACACTTATGTCAATGCAGCACTGTTTCCTTTAAAGTTAAGAGTGACATTGACCTTAAAGCTACAAGCTTGGTTTTGTATCTGCTCAAAGTGACATATGCATGTATGTATATTACATGTAATTTCAAAATCTATGAATGATTAGGGCTGTAACGGTTTACCGGTACACCGATATATTGCGGTGCAGGATAAATAAATATTGTACCGCGGTTCACATTTAGTTGTACCGGTTTTATTTAGTGATAACAGTGTTCCATAATTTCCTCTATAGATAAAAGAAAGTCTTCCATATTTTTCTTGATAACTAAATGTTATGAAAATGTCCTATGCACAAAAGAAAATAACAAACCGAAAGTAGGAAGCGTGTAAAAAAAAAATGGTGTTAGGGTAAAAAAATTACACGGTACGCGGGTAGACAAATGCTTGAAAAATCGGTGATTTACTATGGCAGACGGAAATAATTACGATCTGATAAAAAAATAAATTACAAGGAAAAGAGAGACCCATGAAATTATTGAATACTAGATGCTGACAAAGTGACATGTTAATAATTTTTCTAAAGAAAAAGATGGATTAATTGCCACCGTCACTCAAAATCTGGAAACAAAGTGATCCCTCGGAAGCATTAATCACAACAAGATAACAAGAGAATTGCAGACTCGGTTTGATTAAGTCTGTGGTCTAGTCCTAGTCTGAAACTGTGTTAAGAAAATCATTAGGATATAGTTTAGATTGTTAGTTACTGAATGAAAAGTGTTTAAAGTTTTATTTTGCTGTTACTCATAGTTGATGCTCAATAGTTGAAACAGTTTAATTTTTTGTTAAAGGAAAGTATCCACTAATTCTGTTTTGTGAGAGATATAGATATATATAATATTTGTTGAAATTATAAACAAGTCTCTTTTTCTGAATTATTTCCCAGTACCTAAGATAAAAAACAATACGTATCGCAATATATTGCAATACGGATGTTGCGTATTGCAATATATTGCAATACGCTTTTTACCGTATTGTTACAGCCCTATGAATGATACAGCTATGGATTGGACATGAAAATCAATTTACAATAATAATTCATAATATTTAATATTATGATTGTGGACATAATGTCCCATCTCAACTTTAACTATTAAGCTGTTAACCTAATTTTTTGTACAACATTTCACTATCATGCTCAACAAATTTGTGTCGTGCAATTGTAAAATCCATCCAGGAACTAGAGAAATGACTGTCACCATCTCCTTGACACAAAATTTTATGTAGGTCCATTAATATATAATATTAAAACTTCAAGTGTCACTTTAACCCCACAGCAGATGAATAGGTTCTGCACATAATACATTTAAGCAAAGTTTGAAAAAAGATCCTTCAATAGGTGTAGGATTTATTAAATCAGACATGAAATTCTCTGGCATTTGACATTCAAGTGTGACCTTGAACTTGAGTCTGCACAGCAGTGACATGGGTTACAAACATCACCTAATTAAGCTGGGCATTTGAAAAATCAAAGAGATGTCAAATTTTCCAAAAGAAATAGAGTCCTATTAATTATAATGTTTACTCGCAAGTGCATCATCTGATTCCTTGCTGTCAAACAAGATAAGAACCTCAAACACAATATTTCCAAATAATAACTTGCCCTCTTTAAACTTATAGCATAATATTCTGTCAGGCTTTGGACTTCTGGAGCAAATTGTTACTTTACATTCATATAAATAAATACACCCAGAACTTTAGCTTTGGACGTCAAAATAGTTTGTTTCAGCCAACACTTATGCAGTCGAATACAACAAATTATCATCTTATACTATTAACTGCCAATTAACTGTAGCCTCAAACATGTAATACATCAATGTATAAACTACAATGTACCTGTCATATGGAGACTTAGAAAAGTCAACATCTGTAGAAGAAAACCTGGTATCATAAGGGTATGAACCGCTTATTATCGAATTTTCAGAGGTGACAGTTTGATCTCTACTTTCATTTACATTTTGTCTGTAATTTGCATTGTAATTATTAAACCTTGGGTCAATCGGAGAATAAATATTAATGGGAAAATTATTCTCTAAATCGCTGTCAGCGTCTGCCATCTTGCCATGTTTACAAAATACGGAACTGTTCGGATTTTTCTGCAGCCGATTCCCATTTCCGCTTAAAAAGCTAAGAGCCAACCAAATAAGGAAGATTTCAAATGTGTAGTACCGTATGGTACTGGTTACGGGAGTTGACGGAAGTTAACGGAAGGTTCCGAACCAACCGGAACTAGTGTGTTTTAGTCTGACAGTTGGGCGCCATATTGTTGTAATATATACTCAGAAGAATTAGGCAATTCCTAGCTTGGCTACGATCCAGACGTGGAAGGTAAGTCGATTGCTTGTATTGTCAATCCCTTTATAATCAATCGCGACAGTTCTATATTGGTGGCAGCGGTAATTTTTACGAATTCCGTTCCGAAAGATAGACGCTACCAAAGGTCCATAATTTTACCGATTGTGTACGAATTTGCCCGCAAAATTCTGCACTCATAGAACGGAGTCTACCTGAATTCTTGGTTTTTGTTCATAGTGGGCCACTCTGCTTGAACGATTTAAACCAGAATTTCTACGTAAATAATCGTAGTTAAGCGGGAATTTGCCATCAAATCCCGCTTAGGTTAGACGTTGCCTGGAAGGACAAATTCTTTGGAATTTGTTTATTTTTCGGATTTCCTTTTCGTTCTGCTGCCACTGGTACAGTAACTGTTATATTTTGATAAACTCCATTTAGCCTTTTTTGCCATATAAAGGGGGAGAAGATAGATACTGAGATTTATTTAGTTAAAACACATTTTAACTTGAATATTTCTCGGTATCTTTCATTGTTATGGAGAACATCAATATAAAGGGAA